GCAGTTGGAAATCGAAAAGAGTAGCCTAACGGCGCTGCCTGGGCAAAATTTGGAGTTCAAAATCTACTTAAAACATTTCAGGGTTCTCGCCGGTGCTACAGAACTTGTGCACTGTGCTGAGCTTCTTCGAACTCAGACTTGAGTTAGAAGAAGAACGGAGCACTTATGGGTTACTACCCGTGTGCCATGATGTTGATCCGTTGTTCAAACTTCAAACGACTTCACTAACCTTTAAGTAACAAAGAAGCTGAACTCATGCAAACGTTAACGTTTCACTGATATAATACCTTAGTAAAGTATGAGTCAACGTTTCCAAGTGCTGTAACAGTGACTAATTCAGCAAGGACATAGATTAATTGTTCTTTACGAAACGCCGATGATACAAGAAACTACGCAACCCAGTTCTGAGCGCCACCGGAAAAGAAAATGTTGACAGCAATGCCCCAGTTAGGCTTTTGCACTGATAACAGACATTCCTTTTCATTGGTGAGACAATGTGTCAGCGGAAGTGATAACTCTTGACTTTTATTAAGATGGGTTAACGTACCAGTTATATACACTAGGGCAGCGTTCTTCTTCTACCTTTGTACCTCACAACCCAGGCGAATAGGTGAAATTGTTTTGGTGGACCGACTGACAGCTAAAGAAGTAAAAGTAACAATGTACATAAAAATACTATTTGTGCCGTCTCTACAATGAAGCTGCCGTAATGTAGCGACTAGACCAAGGTATCCTCTGTTACACTGTACTAGTGAAGGCCTTGTCTTGACATTGGTCAGCGCATCCGATGGTCAGGGATTTTTTTTCAAACATCGCTTTGACTTTAAAGTCGATCCAGCCGTAAAGATTCGTCACCTATTTCTTCTTGGTCATCGTCTCATCCCCTCCTCCTCCTCCTCCATTTTCTTCTTCTTCTTCTTCTTCTTCTTCTTCTTCTTCTTCTTCTTCTTCTTCTTCTTCTTCTTCTTCTTCTTCTTCTTCTTCTTCTTCTTCTTCTTCTTCTTCTTCTTCTTCTTTTTTCTTCTTTTTCTCTTCTTCTTCTTCTTCTTCTTCTTCTTCTTCTTCTTCTTCTTCTTCTTCTTCTTCTCTTCTTCTTCTTCTTCTTCTTCTTCTTCTTCTTCTTCTTCTTCTCTTCTTCTCTTCTTCTTCTTCTTCTTCTTCTTTTTCTTCTTCTTCTTCTTCTTCTTCTTCTTCTTCTTCTTCTTCTTCTTCTTCTTCTTCTTCTTCTTCTTCTTCTTCTTCTTCTTCTTCTTCTTCTTCTTTTTCTTCTTCTTATTATTATTATTCCTCCCCCCCCCCCCCGAAATTTGTTTACAACACGCATTTCCTTGGAGTACAGACAATAAGCATTTCCCGTGACATCTTTCACAGCTCACGGTGTCGCACGATACACTTATCATAGTAACTATTCGATGGAACCGGATTTCGCCTGTACCTTGTTTGTTGTCCCGTCCATTTCCCACTGGGAGTTGAAACCCTCAACCTTCCCCTGGATTACTGGGAAGATCGGAACCCGCCACTAGAAGGTTAAGATGGCTACAGCAAGAGAGACTGAGAGAGATTAAGAAGCTTGTTTTGCGCTCCATTGCTCCATTAGGACAAGATGACCTGAAGTCAGTCTGCCACTAACACCGTCAGCACTGGATTTCTTCGTGGCCACTGTTAGAACAGATTACGTGTAAGAATGCCCCAAGTATAGCGATGCCGATTCTTGATGTAATGATCACGTGTAAGAATGCCCCAAGTATAATGATGCTGATTCTTGATGTAATGATCACGTGTAAGAATGACCCAAGTATAGTGATACCGATTCTTGATGTAATGATCACGTGTAAGAATGACCCAAATATAGTGATGCCGATTCTTGATGTAATGATCACGTGTAAGAATGCCCCAAGTACAGTCATGCCGATTCTTGATGTAATGATCACGTGTAAGAATGCCCCAAATATAGTGATGCTGATTCTTGGTGTAATGATCACGTGTAAGAATGCCCCAAATATAGTGATGCCGATTCTTGATGTAACGATGACGTGTAAGAATGCCCCAAATATAGTGATACCGATTCTTGATGTAATGATCACGTGTAAGAATGTCCCAAGTATAGTGAAGCCGATTCTTGGTTTAATCGTTTAATTTATTTATTGCTTACTTTGATTAATCTTTTGGCAACCTCAGAGCACGCAGAATAAAGACACTGGAGACGATTATGGCCCAGCATTGTAACCGAAACAGAAAAGGAAGAAGAAGGTGCGTTCAGTGATTATGAAAAGCGTTAACAGTCACAGAAGTACACATTGGTGTCCATAAACCTGTTAACATTATGGGCCTCTGTGTGTCCGAACTACGCTGGTAAAACATTTCTCGGATAATGGAGTTTGAAACGCCACTCATAAAAATCAGTTCTAATGTTAATTAATCACGAATGTTAACTGTGTGCAGGATTTGTTTATGTTTTTGATGGAGTAAACAGCTGTGTTTGTTTAATTTTCTGCGGCATAATGATATACGCATTTAGTTAACTTATTATAAAGCTCAAGGACTGGGTGGCAGAGACTACCTGTACAGACCTGTTAATACATATGAGTGTGTGTCTATATGAGAGAGAGTGTATGTTTATGTATGGGTGTTTAAAATTGTGTGTGTTTGTGTGTATGCGCGAGTGTGTATGTATGTGCGTGTATATATATACATGTATGAATGCATATTAAGTAGGTGTGTATGTAATGCGTGTATTTGATTTACATTTATTAGTGTGCGCAAGTGTATGAGTGTGTATGTATGGATGTGTGTGAGGATAGGTATTTTTTTTCGGGGGGGGGGGGGGGGGGTGAGGAATTCAATTGGCATGTGAATGATTAGTTTTTTTAGAACAACAAAATATAAGACAGGCCTGCGTGACCAGTTTGAAACCCTTTAAAAATTTAGTTCGTTAGTTCGTTCGTACTTTCTTTACTGCATAAAATACCACTTTTTAGAAGAGGAGGGTTGACCTAGGGATTTAGGACCGTGTGGCTGGTACGGTCGCCACGAATTATGGAACTTAAGACGTTAAAAGGCAGAAGTAAAAGGCAACCTGTTGGCGGTGTACAAATTATGTTGTGTATTAGATGCAGCTACTGGCTCCGTATCAGCCACATTTACTTCTAGCCATTTTCTTCTGCTGTCTGTCTGTCATCTTCCAGTATTACAAAGCTCCGCAACAATCTTGCTCGAGGTGCTCCTATTCTTTGTCACCTAGAGCAGCTTACTGCAACTTTTTCTTTATGTCCTCTCACTGACTCTCGGTGTCTTGGGTGATGGATTTGTACATCATTTTGCAGATTTCAGCTACTCCATTTATCCATCTCTGTCTTATATTTCCCTAGCCTTAATTCCAGATGTTCTGCTTGAAAAAAAAAATAATCTGCATTTTGGCTTGGCTGCATTTTCACTAGATGACCGAACAATTTATTCATTGTCTGTCAGTATAATTCAGAAACGGTCTTTTTCCAACTTTCTCACTAATGATGGCGTTCGTATACCTATCCCCCCTTGTGTTGTTAATAACCGTACAGAGAGAGCTCATTTCACAGGTCGTTATTTTCTGTTCTAGCAACCAGTCACTGCGCGCGCTTCTCGTATTATTGACCTCTACGTCTGTTTCTCTTCTGTGTATATTTTTGGTCTCCATTTGATTTTTTTTTTTTTAAGTATTTTGTTCGTCCATTCAAGGAAGCTTCATATTAGTCGACTCCTACGACATGCTTGTTGGGAAGGCAGTGAGTCTAATGGGCTTAGGAGCTCACACAATGATAATGGCATTTTAGTTACATGCTTATCTTGTTTTCTTATTGTGTGTCCTCTACATCTTATTGGGTTTTCTTATTGTGCGTCTTATCTATCATCAGTGTCTCTTTCCACCCCGCACCCCCTCCCCCCTCACCTCACCCCAATTTCTTGATTCAGTGGAATAGTTTGGTTCTCTTCTCAAGCTCAGCATTAGTGATTCTGTTATACCAGTTAACTCCTTGTATTTTCGCTGAATTTCCATCGTTGAATTCTAGAGAAAGTCTCCCAGATCCGAGCGCTTCCCTTCTGATCCAGCAGTTTCTGCATCATGGTTTGTCCCGAACGTATTTGGTTATACCTATTTTTTGGACAACAACGCAGGCCGCAAGAGGGATTATGTTGCCTGTCTTGTTTAAAGCAAGGCTGCCATATCTGGACCTTTCCACCCAACACACTCAGTTTCAACAAACTCCTCATTAGTCACTTTTTAAGACATGTTAGTCGTGTAATAGTGATCTATTTATTAAAACTAATATGTGTCAGCCCTAACCAACTCAAAGACTCCAACCACTGTCTTCGTACCCAGCTCATCTCTATCTTCCTGGGCATACTCACCGAGTACAACATGCACGCGTGTAAAGGTTTGCGTCTCCAGTCATGTTATTGCTTTGGTCACTGCTATGACCTGCTTAGTCAGAATATTTGATGACAATATGATCAGCTTAACCTCATATCCGACTTTGAATTAAACTGCTGACATAGGGTTGTATGGTTTGACTAAACTCATAAGTCTATAGTTAGAGCTACCTAACAAGACATTGGTAACATCAGACAACCTTACACCAGTTTGTGAATTCGACATATGCTTCGTTAATATACATTTCTGTAACTTATGGTGCCATTTCAATGGTTTGAAATGAATTCTGTCCGTATTCCATAGTTGTGGATTTCAAGCTGTACAATAAACATGACCAATAAGACACCTTTCTTTGGGGAATGCCTAGTTGACCATGTTCCTACTGCACTTTTTGCAATAGCAAGGCGCACACGCTGTCTGGAGGTGACAGGTTCGATTCCCGGCACGGTAACTATATCTTTTGATTTTTATGTTGTCTAGTGTGTCCTTCTATCTTTCTACTTCTTTCTGTGCCATCAATACATTTTTTGTTACTCTATTAATATATAATATGTCAACTGAATAACGTGATGTGAGATACTTTTATTTTCAGTTTGATGGATGCACTAAAGCATTTTCAAGACTGGAGAATCTTAAGATACATCTCCGAAGTCACACTGGAGAGAGACCATACCACTGCCAACACCCTGGCTGTGAGAAAGCTTTCAGTAACTCTTCAGACAGAGCCAAACATCAGAGAACACATATAGATACGGTAAACATTTTGCTCTTGTACATTAGCTGTTACTTTGGAAACATTGTTATTGTAGTAACAGCATGCTTGTCAAAAACCAGGGTGCAATAAACTACTTATGGAGGCTAGTTCAATGACTATTCGTTTTAATCTTGAAAGAAACTAAAGAAAAAAAAAAGATTCTCTCTATTATCAGTCGCAGAACTAGTGATGAGGTGTGATCAGCGTGCGTGTGTACGAGTTAGCAAAGGTTAGAATAAAATGGCGTGAGATGGTTGAGGGCCTATGCCCCATTAGGGGATGAAAGGCAGATAATGAGGCCTTGGCAGGTAACAGTTAAACTGGAGAGGGTATCATGTGATATTTTCCACATTGTTGATTCACCTTTGAGAGTATGCAGCTAGCATCAAAGTACAAGTAACAGGTAGTTTTTCTCATGTAACAGTTTCTGCATGAACGGTGTATACATGCAGCAGGCGTTCTTTTCACTGTGTTAATACTTTTAACAAGCGTTAAGTGTTCGGCAAGACAAAAACTGAGGTTACATATTTGTAATAAATAGTAAACAGTGATTATTTAGACTCTTTCATGTTTATGGCATTGTGGTGCTGGAGTGTCTGTAGATTACCTCCCTCCCCGGACAGCAGCCAGAAGTGCACTGTGTCAGTTCTTAGGGAAATATGGATTGTGTTTCTGCCTTCCCCTTTGATATGTAGCTAAGGTGGGGCTCACAGTGTGCTAATTCCCCGCCACCAGATTGCCTGCAGGTTTCGCTGAGCTCTTCTTGGCTTTAAGCATGGCCTGAGCATGAGCAGTGATGATAAATGGTTTTAATAAAGTGAATTTTCTTTTTGCAATGAAAGTGTAAGCAGGGATTACAGCCATTACATGCAAGCCTTGCTACTGGACATAACCACAGGCTATGACTAGCAAGCTAAACAAGGTGAAGATGTGAAGGGGGAGGAGAAAAAATACCATGAACAGAAACAGTAGCATGTTTTGACCTGTTTTTATCATTGAATGCCACAATAACAAGAAAAATCCTAGTCACCAGCACCCACATGGGGAAATCCACATGAATAACAGTAAACGAATATAAAATATTGGAACATGAACAGATGTTGAAAACAAAACGTAAGTAAAGGAGTAAAGATACAAGAAATAATAATAATGCCTTAATAATAATAATAATAATAATAATAATAATACCAGTGCTACTGGGAGTTGCCATGGCGGAGCTGCTAGACGCTCGCGGTGGATCGGAAGGTTGTGGGTTCACTCCCTGGCGAAGCCGGACTTTTTTCAAAAAGGACCTTGGCTCCCAGGTCGACCCAGCCTTAGGTGGGTACCGGGTGCAGTCCCGGGAAGTAAAGGCGGCCGGCGTGATGCTGACCACATCATCCATCTTGTGCTGATTGGTCTATAAAATTATAGGCCTAGTCCTATATGCCCTATACACCTAAAGGCGTGGAAAAGGGTCCTTTACCTTTACCTGTGCTACTAAGGATCCTAAGGTCATGGCTTCAGATCCTGAAGGAATCAGACCTGTTTTCAAAAAAGACATTGGCTCCCAGGCCGACCCAGACTTAAATGGGTACCAGGTAAAAGTCATGGAAAGTAAAGGTGGTTGTGTGGTGATGACCAAATCATCAACTGAGTGCCAGTTGGTCTATAAAATATAAGTTTAGCCATATATGCCCAGTATGCTTGAAGGTGTGGAACAGGGACTTTACTCTACTCCTGTTTGAGCTTCCTAACTATGCCTAGTGTGTAATAAGTTTTTTTATAAAAATACTGTCTCATCTGCAGTCACCCTAATTTTCATTTCTTTACAGATATTACCAATAATTTGTGTGATTTTCTTGGAGAATCAGATCTTTTGTCCCCATCTGGGGTCTGGGGCTCCACTGTGGGGAAAAACAAGAACAGACTCACCACCTCCTCAACAAGGTTATTGTAAGAGTCCACTAATTAGGGGAATTATTTGAAGTTGGTGTACATCCGACTATGAGGCAAGGAATCAAGAGTCTGCATACAAATAAGCTAGATCTGCGCATGCAACACTCAGGATCTAGAACAAGTCTAAAGTCATGAGGTGGACGAACACCCAGAACTTTCTGCCAAAGTTTACTTTTGGTGAACTTGAAGAAGAGCAAGAAGAAACATCATCATCATCATCATAAACCACTTCTGCCATTAAGCGTTGTGGGGAGGAATAATTTGCGATCCAGTGCACGTTGGCTGCCACTGGCTATTGTCATGCCGTGAAGGCGTAGAGTGTCTTTAATGTTGTCGATCCATGTTTTCCGCAGTCATCCTCTTGCTCTTGTAGCTGATCTTCTGAGATGTAGTGCTTGTGATGGTATTTGATCTCGCTGCATTCTAACAAGATGGCCAAACCACTTGATCTGCTGTTTCTTGATGAATCTAGTACAAGGTGTTGTTCCCACAATTTGCCTGATAGTTTCATTATTCAATCGATCTCGGATGGTTAGGTGAAGAAGAAACATTGTGTTAAATTACGACATACAAGTTGACCTGGAGTACAAGTTGATCTCAAGATTTTGAGATCAACTTGTACTCCAGGTCAGCTTGTATACAAAATTCTGAGTCAGACCTATACCTACCTATTTTATACCTGCAATATACATTGACCCCTAGGGAAACAAATTGTGGCTTGAAAACTCGACATTTGCACCCCAAATTCACGAAATCTCCTTATTTGTCTTTGTGTGAATCACAGTCTGAGTTTTCTATTATATATGTTAAACACACATATAGTATTTAAAACACTTGCATTCATTTCAGAAACCATATGGTTGCCAAGTCCCAGGCTGCAGTAACCGCTACACAGACCCTAGCTCTCTCCGCAAGCATGTGAAAAACCACACCAAAGAGCAGCAACAACAACAGAAAAAGAAGGTGAGCCAGTGGTCTTCTTAAACTTATTTTATGTGTGATTACTCTGTAATCATTTACAGCTTAAACAAATGTTATTTCATCATCATCATCATCACCGGATTTAGGTATAAGCTAAACAAACTACAGCTTAGGGCATCAGAATCTGCAGTGGCCTCAAAAAATGTATATTTTTCTTTTAAACGATTTTCAACCCCCGCGAGAATGTTGTAATTATTAACTCATTAATTTGGATATGTTATCTCATTGAAATGATATATATTATTGTTTATTTTTTATAATTTGCTGTTGCCTATTTATTTATTCTAACTTGAAGCCTAGTTGAAGGCATATATATTTTAAAGTTTTATATTCCGTTCCCCCTGTGGGATGTAATTTTTTTGTTTTTTTAAAGCCACACCCTGAACATAGCCCAGCCATAAATATGGTCTAACGGCTGAACTGGGTTTCTGGGACCTCTCCATGGGTCATCCTCATCCGCATGGTGGCACTTTGTGTCACCAAGTGTTTGTCGCTTGTGTGATGTCCTGGTGGGGTGCAAATTACTTACTAATATCTACTTTTAAAGTTTTGTGAGATTAGCTGGTGAAATTTACAATGATAGGGGCCTCAGGTCCTTATATAACTTAGGGCAGGGTTATTCAATTAAGTGAACTTAGGGAGCCAACATTTTCACAAAAAGGTATTGTCACGGGCCAGAGGCTCGCGCCCATGCATAGAAAGATCATTAATACAATACAACTGGCAGTGATCCGTAGGCCACTTGCTAGGCCTCAGTGGGCCAGATTTGGCCAGCGGGCCGCCAGTTAAATAGCCCTGGCTTAGGGCCTCATCAGGTCTAAATCCAGCCCTGACTATCACCATCATCATCTTCGGCCAGATACCCACTTAACTATTTACAGCACCATTCTCCTCAGACCATAATGATCTGTTTGTGCCTTCGCACTGTTCACTCGCTCCTGAAGAGCCCTAACAACATCTACCTTGTCATGTATCACTTCACCACCAAGTGGTGCAAAACCAGCTAGTCTATCTGTCTGTCCATTTCACAACACACCGGCAAACCTGGAAAAATGTCCAGAGGTTGATAACTACCTGGGACCTCTGGAATGTGGCTTGCCACTCTGCGTGGAGCATGCCCGTCTTCCATCTTTCTTAGCATGCTCTGTCAATCATTTACAATTACGACATGTGTGTATAGCTTATTCTCAAGCTGTCGGAAGGCAGCAGTGACTGCCTGCACCTCCATTCTCAAACTAGACATTGTGATATCAAATGTCATCTGTATATACAATCACATCACCTGGGCGGGTATTGTCATAAATCATTTGTTGAACTTCTGATTCTGCAGCGCCAGTGGGCCAGTCCTTGCACCCACAATCTAAAGTGACTAGAACACTGTACAAGTCTTATTCTTGCTTGGACACGTTGACCCACTCCTCTCTTTGCTCAAATTTATCAAGCCTGCACAGGTGTCTACTTGTGTCTTCATCTTGCGCCATCAAAGACCTTCCTCTTTTCAGTCTGTGACCCTTAGATCAACCTAGGGCTTCATGAAGGAGATGCTCCTTGTCTGCAGCTACTCGAGATAGGAGAAATGTGAGCCTATCTGCAATAATTGGCAGTGCAAGTATATATTGCATACATACTACCAGAGTATGTTTTGTACATCCCAGAATTATCTGCATAGCTTCATTCTGTATGTGTTCAAGTTTCATCAGCTAACTCTCTGATATGGTAAGCATTCCAAGTCCATAAATCTGTCACCGACAGGATCACATGCTGGAGCACTGTGAACATCATTCTTTCTTCCATGTCTGTTACTACCATAAACTTGAGAGCTTTGAGTCCTTTTTGGCATTTCACTGCAACTGCCTTTACATTATCCCTGAAGGACATGCTTCTATCGAACATGATACCCAGGTACCTGTTTGCTTTCTCTTTTGATGTTACTGTCATTAATTGTGAGGCTTGGAACATAAGTTCTTAAAATTCTATTGTCCAGAGAGCACCATAAAACCACTGCCTTTTCTGAGTCGACGACAGCACACATCTCTGCACACCAGTCAGTCGCTTTGTTTACAGTTGCCTGTAGCTCTTGGGCTATCCATTGCTCATCACTCTCCTGCCTAAATGCAAGAACATCATTCACAAATATCAATATCCTTCCAACACCTGGTGCTTCAAGTTTTGCAGTCTTGCTTGTGTACACAAGGAAGAGCATTGGTGAAATTGCAGAATCTTAATGGTAGTCCTGGGGCAATATTGCATGGTTCTGAGAGCCATATACCCAGGCAAATTGCAACCATACGTGAATGCAGGACAGCTGCTTTTCAGTTCACCAGCCAGGGACAAACCCCCTTCTCCCTGAATGCAGATATCAAAATATAATATCTTACTCTGTTGTAGGCATCCTCAAGACCAATTGCTGCCACTACCATCTCCTTCTGGAGTCCCTCATAAACATCAAAGGCACAAGTATCTGCATTTGACCAGGTATCTTTCCTTGGCTGTTAATTTCCCAAACTTTTTGGCAAGAGCTTTTCCCTTTCCAAAAACATTTGTAGTTTACAAGCAATAATCTTCTCTAGCACCTTGATAAAAGTATTTTGTAGGTTGATAATCCAAAGTCTGGAATGATTTTTGCCTGGTTTTGGAAGTGGAATAGGATAGCTGTGTACCCAATCCTGGGGTACTGAAGCTGTCCTGATGCTCTGGTTGAAGTGAAAAGCCATCTCCCTCAAGTCTTCATCACTCGTGCTCTTCATACCTGACTCTGTCTGGTCCCAACGCAGTGTTTTTTTTATTTTTGCAACATATATCCCCCCCCCCCATATTTTATGTTTTCTTTACATAGTAACTGGTCTATTTGTCCCCATAACATGGGAACTGGTCAATTTATCTCCATAACAAAGTAACTGGTCTGTTTGTTCCCATAACATGGTGACTGATCTGTTTGTCCTTATAATATTGTGACTGGTCTGTTTGTCCCCATAACATGGTGACTGATCTATTTGTCCTCATAACATGGTAACAGGTCCATTTATCCCCATTACATATTAACTGGTCTATTTGTCCTCATAATATGGTTAATGATGATTGTTCTTGTTTTCAATAATTCATTATCTTCCATTTTTCCAGTTGAAGAAGGAAAGTCTGGATGCAGCTGACATTGTGAACACCTGTCTAACCATACAGCAGATCAAACCAGAAGGGTCACCAATGGATTTCAATGAGAACAGCATGGGAAGGTCACCACACATGGGGGCCAGCTGTGAGATATTCCCCAGTAAGTTTATCAACTGTTGTATTTAGGATGTCTGTTGTTCTGTCAGTGTTGGCTTCCTGTCCAGCCACTGGTATCTTCTTCTGCGTTTGACATCAGTCATGCTAAACATTGAGTCCCGTCTGGGTCAAAAATAGGATTGTGCATTTAAGGTGGCCACCGGTCCCCCATAGCTTCTCTCGCAATGTGGATCCCCTGGGCCAGATCCACAGTCTTTGCTGGGAGAGGTAAGGGCAGTACTGCAGTATGTGCTCAGGGGTCTGTCTTTCTGCTCCACAATCACAGGTAGCAGATTCTTTTATGCCTATCCTGTACAGGTGTGCTCGAAGACCACAGTGTCCAGTCCGAAGTCTAAAAATTGATGTTTGTTCTTTTTCTTTTTTGGTATCTTTTTCTTTGTGTTCTACCAGATGAGAAGGTCATAGGCCAGTGTTTTATTATTATCCTACCCCAAGATGACGTCACATAACAGTCCAACATTTTAGAGGGTGGTAAGACTGGGTTCCCCAGCTTTCTGATACTTTTAATGACCCCAAAACATCTAGAACTGGCCCTAACCCCAACCCACCTACGTCCCACGAGAGAGTGCAGCCTAGGTCTCACAACTGCATGCAGCCTAGGTCCCATAACTGCATGCAGCCTATCTACCACCCCCTAAAATATTAGACTGTCCTGTGACCTATGGATTTCCCCTGTTTGGTGTAGAATATTAATAAAGAACCCACAGACCTCTATTAAGTCTGTGGTACATGTTCTCACCTGTTCCAAAAGGCTTGATTTCCACTGAAATGCCAACTGGCCAAACCTGGGATATCTCTAATGCATTTAGAGAGCACATGTCTACGGTATTTTTGGATGCCTGTCCACATGGATAGAATTGTGGTTTTCAGTCATGAATTTCCTGAACATATTGCTGCATATTTAACCAGTTCACTTCTTGCCTGATCTAGTCATCCACACATGGGATGCAATTTTTCGTTATTTTGATGACCCACGCTGTCTGTTGCAGGGGATCCTAATATAACCTAACGGTTGACCGGGGCTTTCGGAACCTTTCCATGGGTGTTCCTCATTAGCATAGTGGCACTTTGTGTCGCCAGATGTTTATTGCTCTGTGTGATGTCCTGGTGGGGTAAAACTTACTTATTTTACTTCATGCATCAGCAGTTATGTACTTGTGGCGGGAGAGTTAGCATGAGACCTAGCTTCTTTTAGGCAGACCGTGATGAAAGTGACATTCTGCAAAGAACCTGCTACATGATGATAAGCCGTTATGAGACAAAGAAAAATGACGACAGAGAATCACCAAACAGGCAGTTACATTGGAAATAAATGGATTCATGAAATGAGGACGTGCAATAGAAACGATAAGATGAACATTAATTAGACCGGCCAAATGTGCTGGGTTTAAATTCCCTCCATGATAATCAAAAGATTGTTAGGATAGAACAGAATGGAGAAATAGAATGCCAGTCTTGTTTGACGTGGCACAATAGGCTAGTTGTGATTATGTTTGCGCTGTATTTAGTACTCCGTTGATAAAGACTTTGGTCGAAACGTTTGGTTATATTTGTGTGCGTCTTTTCCATTTTCTCCATTGAGCTTTCTAGTCACATTTTGTGTTACATTTAGCATTTTGTTGTTGTTGGTGGTGATAACGATCTAAACAAAAAAGCAATATGTGCAGGAAATACTGGCATAGATTGGGTGGAGAAAACGCAAATGGAAGATTTTGATTTTGTAGATGATCTTGTTCTGCTAAATAATATCAGCACAGGTGTATACAAAAATATATACAACAACAGATGGTTTAGCATCAATAGCGTTAAATGTCGATCAGGCAATCATCGCCTTCATCTCTGAGACATTTACATGTCACATAGGGCTCACAGTGGATTTCTCCATTCCATTTTATCGTGTGTAATCTTGTGGATATCTTGGATAGAATAAACCTTCCTCATCAACTTTCCTTGTAGTTCGTCGTCCTTTCCTCAGTCCTTTCTTTGACCCACTTTAGTCTCTGCTTCTTCTTGGGATTTGTCCAATATTTCATCCTCTTCCATCAAGTTTTATCACAAAAACCAATCTTTGTGTTTCTTTCTAAGCCAAGCAGTGTACTTGTCTGGCCACTAAAAAAAAAAGTGAAGGACCCTTTTCCACGTCATCAGGCGTATAGGGCATATAGGGCTCGACCTATATTTTTATAGACCATCGGCACAAGATGGGTGATGTGGTCAGCATCACGCCGGCCAGATTTACTTTCCCGGGACTGCACCCGGTACCCACTCAAGGCTGGGTCGACCTGGAAGCCAAGATCATTTTTTAAAAGAGTCCGCCTCTGCCAGGAAGCGAACCCACGACCTTCTGATCCGCGACGAGCATCTAGCCTCTTGGCCACGGCAACTCCCTGTCTGGTCACTGATGTCTGTTTTAATTGCCTGAATATTGTCCTTTTTCCATAATACATAGAACTAAACAGGTGGGAACTCCTGGTAGCTGTATAAACATAATAGTAAATAAACAGGTGGGAATCCTGGAGGCTGTATAAACAGTATAAGAAATGAACAGGTGGGAATCCTGGAGGCTGTATAAACAGTAAAAGAAATAAACAGGTGGGAACCTCAGGGGCTGTATAAACAGTTTAATAAATAAACAGGTGGGAATCCTGGAGGCTGTATAAACAGTATAAGAAATAAACAGGTAGGAACGGTGAAAGAGTCTTCTTGTTACAGTCCATGCTGCGTGGCGTTAGTAATCATGTCCTTCCACGGCCTTCTGTCTTGTCGGACTTTATTCAGTTCTGACATAAATGATCTTCCATGCCATAATGTCAAACGTCCAGCATCTTCTGAGGCCGTAGAAATAGTGTAATGAATTAGCTAGTAAAAGTCTAGTAGTGTGTTCTCTTGGCTCTATGGGGAGCTGGACGCACACCCAAGCCTCTTCTTTTCCCATTCAGGCTTAGGACAAACAATACAAGAGCGCCATGTTTTTAATGTGTTCAAGACTAAAAGGTCTACTTAATAAAACATTCGATTGGAGCGGCGATAAGTGACAAAGAGAGCGCACGTCAAATTGTACGGTGCCAGATCAGGTAACGGTGGTTAGACATTACTACAGTTCTAAACGGTTGGCTGAAATTCCAGTACACCTGAGACGGCCGCCAAGTATCACCTTACGACCATGTTTTTGTTTGTGTTTTCGAAAACAAGCGGCGGGTCGTTGACATTCTATTTGTGCTTACCAGCTGAGGCCTGCTAGCAGTGGTTGTTTGTTTAACTTGTTTTAACTGGAGCAGAGAGAGAGAGAGAGAGAGAGAGAGAGTGAGAAAGAGAGAGAGAGAGAGAGTGTGAGAAGAGAGAGAGAGAGAGAGAGAGAGAGAGAGAGAGAGAGAGAGAGAGAGAAGGTTAGGGGGTGGAGGCAATTTACTGAATGAGACAAAGATGGCGAAAGGTCTGTTTAAGAACACAACGCGAAAATTAGAAAAGGAAAAAGCAAGCATTAGTGAGAGACGATCAGTGATATACACACACAGAGAGTTTGGGAATGGCTTTTAAAAAAGTGGGGGGGGGGGGGTGGCGTAGAGGTTGGGCTGAGAGAAACCATACATTACACAGGCATCCTGAAAAGTACATTACGGAGTTACAGACATACAGAGAAGCAGGATACAAACAGGCACATATATAGACAAATGAGTGGCGGGAGGGGGTATTGATGTCAGGCATACGTATAGGTAGGTATTGTTATTGATTTGTTTTATTCCCATCGTTGCATGCAGTATTAGACAGTTAACTAAAGTCGGTATATTTGTAATTACGTAGGTATTATATAGGAAACTATGCAGGGAGCAAAGAAGTTGGAAAAGAGGTCTCTAGTCGCAGTTTGTGTTGTATTTAGTACTTCTGTATGTTGATCATGGATTTTTACAAGCTCCGTTGTCTTGTATTCTTGCTGTTGGGTCCTAGTTTATGACGTGTTTAGTGCCTCGTTGATATAGACTTTGGTTGAAACGTTCTGTTGTATCTGTGCATATCCTTTCCATTCCTTTCGTTGGGCTTTCTAATCACGGTTAGTGTTGTATTTAAGTAATTTGGAAAAGAGAGGCTTGATGGAAATCTCAAGTCATCTGACTTGAATACCACACTAGAAAAATCTACAACGTGTCCTTTCTTATCTGTTTAGATTCTTCGTGTGTTTATTCGCTTCTCGTCTGTCAACATTGAACAAATCCTAGCTGTGTTATCTTAGGCCATTCCTCCTCGTCTCTGGTTATTTTCGGTCATTAAACTAATTATCTGTGAGTTTATAATAGTATGGGGTGACAATCTGTGCTAACAATCCTAAAACTGTAAATGAATTGCGTTTTTTCAAAGATAACTTTTGCTGTGTTTTTTTAAAGATAACTTTTGCTGTAATTAGCCTCCTGTATGGTTTGCGGGGTTCCATTTTTTGCGGGCGGGGGTGGGAGACTCACCGCACTTTAACAAGCATGTCGTAAAAGACAACTAGTTTAGTATTTACAGCTGCCTGCTGGTGAACAAAGGAATGCGCCTAAAAGGTGGGAGTGGAGGAGGGGGTGGAGGCGGTCCTAGATGTCGGAAGCAGGGGACGCTACTAGACAAATTTGCTCATTGGAAATGTAATGCTCGGCGCTGAATGGATGGAAGCACAAGTGAAATTGCAGAAGCAAATCTAGGTAATAACCATCCTGGGCAGGTATTGCAGATAATGGAGGCGAACAGTCATTGATGCTGAAATAGGAGCCCTCATCTGCGAGCGCACTTGAGAATGTGACGTCACTATTTATACAGAGGGTCTAGTATAATTCGTTCAAATACTTCAAGCATGACAATGAAGATAGAAGACAAGGCAGATGTGGTCAAGGCCCTTTGTGAACAAGCAACGGAATCGGTAGAGAAACAAGATTATTATGGTCTGGAGAGAATGAGGCATCTGGGTGTAACCAGAGGGTCTGGCCGGCTCACTACACTCAGAGGAAAGGCAAGATGCACATATAACCAGATTGTGACCGGTACCATCAGTATTGGAACTCTGCGCTGGCTGCTAAAGATAAGGACGGAGTACGCAAGGTAATTCCCCGAGTGCTGTGGTGTCAATTGTTGACTCAACTCAGCTCTGGGGATAGAAGCTGTCACATGAGCTCTTGCATGGGTGGCCAAACAAAAAGCAACTTACGCATTTATAGTGGCATACTCTGTGAGCATTCTTGAGAAAGATCCAGTTTTGCAAACTCCAACTAGAATGGGTTGACAGCATCTTGAAGTCCCGCTTCGTGAAACTGTCTTGGCTGTACTCATCAGGACAGGCCGGGATGAAAGGACACGAAAAAGCAGACTGACTGATCGTGTCTGTAGTGGTTATTGAGGGAAAAAGTATGGACAGGCATACATACTGAATGCGCTGCGTTCCAGAAACGTTGGGACTATGAAATCAGAGACGACTCATTTTGGAACTGGGTACTAACGAACGAACAAAGTTTATTTTTAAAGGGTAACAAATTGGGCACGCAGGCCCGTCTGGCATTCGGCCATTCTAAGCAAAGGTACTAAACGAGGACAAGCATGCAGAAACCGGTTGTGGAACATAGAAAGGAGATATGCCAGTCGACTCCTATGGGTTCGTTGAACATGGAGACATTGAGATGGCTGTTGCCTCAGGGGCGGAGCAAAAATGGGTCGTACTGATATTGCAAGCTGTCGATACGTGCACAGATAACAAGTAATAAGGAAATGTTTGGCTGATAAATACATTGATTGCAGCCTGTTTGTGAACCACAACACAACGTACTATCCGTCATTTTAAGGGCGAACGCAAAAGAAGAAGAAGAAGAAGAAGAAGAAGAAGAAGAAGAAGAAGAAGAAGAAGAAGAAGAAGAGATAATGGGATAGCATTACTGATATCCTATATTCCGCTGGGAGCATGTGTAGTCTGTTGGTTCTGTAGTCACAGATTCAAGTCGCTGGCAACTCCCGTGACAGAACCCGGACCGCTGTCCTATTAGACTGCAATACCCACTATGCACCGCAACGCTTTTATCCAACAACTTCATTGAATTCCCGAATTACTCAGCGCTGATAGGAAGAAACACAAGCACGGAAAATTCCAGTTGAAATCGATAATCGGATCGATAGTGAACAGCTGTGATTGATTGTTCCAGTGGTGGTTCAGTGGCAGGCACTCGGCTGAAACGATATTACGTCAGAGGTACAAGACTGATTCGAAAGTTAAGCCAGGACTGAAGGGGCCTAATGATTGGTTGGTATTGTTTGTTGAAGGTGCAGGCAAGAACGTAAAAACCGGCAGTGGTTGTAGAATCGTTTGTAAACGTTTTGGATAAACAGGTTGAAACCCCCCCCCCCCCCTTTTTTTTTCCTTGCCTACACCACACACGTGGTATATTCAGGCGTTAATTATCGTTTGGCAAAGCAAGAGGCAAACAGCGATACTGACTGGAAGATAGCCTCGGTAGATGGATAAAAAACAAAAGATAGCATCTATAGGTATGCGGATAACAGTCTGCAAAAGATGGGACAAACAGAGAGAGAGAGAGAGAGAGAGAGAGAGAGAGAGAGAGAGAGAAGCAGTTGGAGTTTAAAATCAATTCCAGTCAGTCTCTTTTGCTAAGACATCTGTTAAACTGACTGGCACACTTTTCTGTGCAGGTTTCAGCTTTTCCAGCTCCCACTCGAGCAGATGCGGCACGGCGACGGCCGTCACCAACATGACCAGCCAGCAGTCTCCCGGTAGCATGAACACTGGAACTCTGGGAGTTCTTGAAGAGACCAATCATAGGTGAGGCCTCTGTTTCATTCATAATCCAGTGAAGAAATCAAAAGACTATTGGGTGGACTTTTATTGGCTTGTCTCAAAAACACACTGTCGTCGTCACCATCATTATCAGTCTTCATCATTGTTATCACAACAGCCATTATCATAATCTGTATTACCATCATCATAATTATCGTCACTACCATCATAACCTTATCATTACTACGATCATCATCATTGCAATTGGTCTTCACCATTTTCATCAGCATTATCTTCATCACTACCATTATAATCACTAATACACCACTATTATCATTATTACTGCTATCATCATAACCGTAATCATCATGATCATCTCTACTATCATCACCATTATCATTACTGTTATTATCATCATTATAATCGTCATCACTATTGTCATCAGCATTATCTTTATCTCTATCATAATAACCACTATTAGCCATTATTACCGCTTTCATTATTACGTTCTTAATTTCTATTTTCATCACAATCATCTTCATTACTGTTAGCACCACTACCATCTTCATTACTGTTATCATCATTACCATATTTATTACCATCACCATCATTACCAACTTCATTACTGTTATCATCACTACCATCTTCATTACTATTGTCATCATTACCATCTTCATTACTGTTATCATCATTACCATATTCATTAGCATTACCATCTTCATTACCGTTATCATCATTACCATCTGCATTACTATTGTCATCATTACCAACTCCATTACTGTTATCGTTACTACCATCTTCATTACTATTGTCATCATTACCATCTTCATTACTGTTATCATCATTACCATATTTATTACCATCACCATCATTACCATCTTCATTACTGTTATCATCACTACCATCTTCATTACTGAAGTCATCATTACCATCTTCATTACTTTTGTCATTATTACCATATTCATTACCATTACCATCTTCATTACTGTTATCATCACTACCATCTTCATTACTGTTGTCATCATTGCCGTCTTCATTACCGTTATCATCATCATCATCATAATAATTAGGGCTGCAGTAGATATGTATGACACCCCTTGAGCAGTCATTTATATTACTCCTCTTTTTTTCTTGGCTAAACTTCAGCATCGCCATTTATTACAATAATCATTGTCATTATCATTGCTACCATCATCATCATTACCATCATCATCACTGTTATCATCAGCATTGTTATTATTGTCATCAATATCATTATAACAACTATCACACCATTATTATCATCGTTATCACTACCATCATTACTATCATTATCATAATCATTACCATCTTTATTATCGTTGTCAGGGGTTCTCTGCTGCGAGGTGGTCAAACCGTTAGCTTCCTGCTGTAAAGGTCATGGATTCATTTAATGGCGGCGTCATTCAGTTCACAGAGATCTCTAGGGATCTTGCCGGAGCTACAGAGATTGTGCTCTTGGCAGGCAGCTAGCTGTTCTGTGGAGAGAGACTGAGCCACATGGGATAAAAATTACAGATGTTCCCATCATTATTCCCACTATCATAATCACTAGCAGCAGCCATATTTGCAAGTGATAATAATATGGACACCTTTCTAACAGCATTTCTAGATACCTACCACCCCTAAACAATGGGCTGAGTCCTCGACCTCTGCCACCAATCCCTCACCAGATGGTGCCACAGATGGGTAGCATGCACAGTGGACATTATGGACATGATTTGTACTCATGTAGCCAACACATTACAGGTAACAAACTAATTAACATATTCATCATCATCTGTAGTAGGTCTTTTGCAGAATGTCGCCCTCATCAGGGTCTGCCTGAAAGAAAGCTGGTCTCTTGCCAGCTGTCCCACCTCATGCACTTTCATTCCAAAGCGTCACTTTTATTCTGTGATCATCTTCGAGCTGGTCGGCCCTTACCCCTCCTTCATGGTACCAAGCCTTCCACTTTTTTTTTTCTAGTCTGTTGTGGTGCTTGATATGGCCAAAATATTTCATCTTCCAGTACAAGATGCTGTTTATTAGCCAGTAATTATAATACTAATACTGTATCAGCCATTGAGTGTTGACTTATCAATAAAACTATTAGTCTGGCATGATGTTGACCATATCAGCCATTGAGTGTTGACTTATCAATAAAACTATTAGTCTGGCATGATGTTGACCATATAAGCCACTGAGTGTTGATTGGTCAATAAAACTATTAGTCTGGCATGATGTTGACCATATAAGCCATTGAGTGTTGATTGGTCAATAAAACTATTAGTCTGGCATGATGTTGACAATATCAGCCATTGAGTGTTGATTGGTCAATAAAACTATTAGTTTGGCATGATGTTGACCATATAAGCCATTGAGTGTTGATTGGTCAATAAAACTATTAGTCTGGCATGATGTTGACCATATAAGCCACTGAGTGTTGATTGGTCAATACAATTATTAGTCTGGCATGATGTTGACCATATCAGAAAATTGAGTTTTGACTGGTCAATAAAATTATCAGTCTAGCATGATATGCTACTGGCAAATAAGGAGTCTGAATCCCTCACATCTTTAACAATATTTACCTTAAAATAGCTTTTGCTTGTATATTTATTTACACTGTTCATAAAAACAATTTAAAATCTTTAAATTGTAGATAGTTTTTAAAAACTTACAATTAACAAAAAAACAGAGCAACATGCAACAACAAATCTGCCTGTGGTCCATACTAGTCTCTCCCATATTGGTGGTCCTTGCAACTCAAGAGAAATTTAAGGGATCCGTGATATCATTTACAAAACAAACAAAAAATACTCAAATTTTAGAATGCAATCCTTTTTGCTATTCTGATATTAATAAATTATAAAAAGTTCATCAGTGGAACTGTAAATGAAAATGGGATCAGAGTTAGATCCTGGTAATTAGATGGGTCTGCATGTTATAGCTAATTTGGAACCATAGGTCCATACCATGTGATTTTGATAATTACATTCACAGACTTCTCTAATGCATACTGTATATAACCCAAATACAAATGTACAAACCTAAGCAAAAAGATTAGAAATGAGATTCTCAAAATATTCTCATTTGTACATTATTTGTTGACAGACATCTCCAACACCATGCACCAACAATATGTCAGACCACAGTACCCACAATCCCTAGCAGGCTTCAACAGCTGCCACATGGGTGCCATGCAAGCCCAGCGAATGATGAACATGCAAGGTTTCGACCCAGAATCCTTCAGCGTTCCTCTTGATGGTGTCTCACAGTCAGGTACGTTTTATTTATGTATATGTGTGTGTGTGTGCATATATATGCGTGTATATATTCGATTTCATTCAGAAAATTTCATGACTGCTGTAGTTAACTATAGATAAGCAAGTCAGATGCTTGTCAGATGGTACCACAAACACCGAAGCACATTCTGCAGGCCTGCCCACTAAAACTTACCACTACAAAGAGAAACCTGGCCTCAAGAACAAAGTGTGCACAGCGAGCTATGAGGAACCATGGAGTACCTGAAACTGACTTGTAAGTTCATAGAGACAGCCCACCTGATGGTCTGCCCTGAGCACACAAAACTGAAAGCTGAGAAGAAGAAGAAGAAGAAGATATATATATATATACATACGCCAACACAAAAAAGGTTTCATCAGCTGCTTCGTGCTGAGGGAAATATTTCATAGGGGGATCAGAGAACTGGGAGACTTGGATTTTTGATATGCACTGAGGATGATCTGTGTGAGAATGTGTGTGCACGCATGCATGTGTGCATGCATGAGCGCTTATATAAGTGGTACTGGTGTTACTTCATCTTCTTATTTATCTTATTTGTCCTTTTTTAGAGAGGAGTGCATCACACTTAGTTATGCACCTTGCAGGTCAGTATGCAAGAAGTCTGCACTTGTGTAAGATTTACTTGGAGGTAGGGTTCCATGTACAAATAAAACCTATGGTGCCATTTGCAAAATGTGGAAAATTCATAGGTAAATGCACTGTACATTTTTATAAATAATGATAATACGCAAACATGCATGTACGCCATGTATAAGGTAAAGTAATAATCTAACTTCAGTCAAAATGGAATATTTCTCATCAAATCTTTGTAGAATGATTGCCAAAAACTGCTAGTTACTGCCTCTATTTACTACTTTTGCAGTGTAGGCAGGGGGGTCTGAGTATGAGCATTTAGGGTCACATGGCTGGTGCTGTGGCTGCAAATTATGCATTTTAGAATTTTATTTTAGCCCCTAACTGAAAAAAATCCCTAAGCTTACCGAGGATTTGAACCTGAGGTAGAATGACTACTTTTGATAAAATCCATTCTCTTTAATTGAATTTGATGAATGAACTGGTTTGGAAACCTAACAAGAATGCCCTGCTACTATCTGTCACAGTGAGCCACACTGAAATTTTACGAGTTAAGAGCGAGTGAGAGATGGAGTGATGGCATTAGGAACAGCCTTACAAAAATGAACATCAATCCTAACAGTGCTCTTGACAGAGGTCATCAACGAATGTTAAACCCCCCCCCCCCCCCTCCCCTTTTCCCCCGACACTTTGCTGAGGTACAAGGTGGAAGAGAAGAAGAAAAAGTATTAAAAAAAAGAAGAAAAAGATAAATGAACTGAGGTTCAAGGCTAAATCCAATTGTTAGAGATATTTTTGATGTGGAGGAAAAAGTGTATCCTAGGACCAAAGAAGTAAGGTGTATAAGCGTAGAATGGCATGTTTTGACATGTAAACCATAAATAATGTTCTTAAAAATTAATATTCTTTTGCCAGGTTTTTCTGAAGCAAATCTGATGCCTTCTATAGAAACACTTACAGTGCAAAGTGAGCCCAGCATGCAACAGTATCTGCAGTTGACAGCAGTTGACCGATGTAATAGTCGCACTTCTGTGTTTGCAGATGGAACAAGCTGAAGTATTCATCTACCTTCATCTCAGATTAACAAATTGTTTTATTTTGCAAACATAAAAATATAGATTGAATAATAAATTGATTTACTGCTTAAAATAGCTTTCATTGTTGGATTTTTATTTTATTCCTGGTCAGCTTTTTTAGCTTATGATTGACTGATTTGCTCATAAATATACCATGAGCCCAGCAATTACCCCAAAATTTACCAATCCAGTCTCTACAGTCCAGAGTAGGATGAATATATAGTCAGCATTTCTAGTGAGTCACTGCTGGTAATCTAAGTGTTAACATGTATTTTAGTATTACAGTAGGATTTTCACTCTTATGTAGATCTGAAGCAGTGAGTTTAAAATTACTGTTACTAATCATTCATTCATTCATTCGTTATCCTTTTGTGCCATTACTTATCACATAGGGCTCAATAGTCTTTTTTTCTATTCTGTTCTACCCTGAGCAATCACTTTGATGTTATTTATGGAATCCAGTCCAGCACCTTTGGTTTCTCTCTTCCACTTTCACCATAGGATTTCTCTAGGACGTCCTCATTTCCTTAGTCCCTGTATATCCCATTTCAGTGCCTGTTTGGTGATTTTCTGTTCTCAGAATGGGCCTAGTATAATGACATTTTCTTTGTTAATTACTACTCATTAACCATCAATTTTTCCCCCAAAAAAACAGTCATTAAAAACGGCATTTTTATTTTAGCTTGTACACTAATGTCAGCATCTAAAGCTTTGAGATTATCAAAACATTTTGATAATTCCAAAATCAATGTGATTCAGCTGCAGAAAATTTGGCAATAGCCAGTTTAAGGTGGTCTGGCTACAGACTACTTTATATGATTTTGGTTGTAGTATGGAGCTCTGACCATCCAGGAAGCATGGCAAACTAATTAATGTAAAATCATAGTAAATCCCCAACAGTTAACAAATGCTGGGGTTGGTTTCTACTATCCTCTAAAGGTTACATATTTAACTTTTAACACTTAGTGTTTGATTGACTAATAGATTGTTTGGTAAATAAGGAAATAGTTAATTTACAAATAAATCTGTTATAGAGAAAAAAAACACAGTAAATGTGAAGAGTAAATTACAAATATATATTGCAGCTAAAAAAAAAAAAAAGAAAGAAATTACATTATCCTGTGTTAAAAATTATATAAAATCATTATCCTCACTTTATAATATTCTGAGTGATTGAGGATATAAATTTATGTCCATAAATAAACTTAAAAAAGTAATCTGTTACAAACTGCTAAATGTACAGAATATGTCTAAAATTGTATTTAAATGCTGAATTAATACAAGATTTCAATTGATTGATACTATTATATACCTTATAATAATTTAAAACAATGCCAATGGTCCCAGTTTGTAACACCATGTAAAGAATCGGAAAAACATTTACTCCCAACAGAGATGTGTTTTTTGTTGATGAGATAATGCCAAAAATATAGAATGATAGAAAACAAATAAGGCAATCCTTCCCTAGACAGAGGGCAGCCATTTAATGATCATAAAATGAGATGCCTGTCTGGGAATTTGGGCTTGTTAAGAAAAAGTATGCGTTTGAGAACTTGATTGGCAAGATTGATGGTAAGGAAACTTAGCCATAAAGATGGGAATGAGACAAGAAAACTGACCTGATTCATGATTCTGGTAATCATGTGAGATTGCAAAACATGACAGCCTGTGCTCTGAGCATAGGAAATGATAATGATTATGGTAGAATCTAAACATTTTGCTTGTGCTAGTAAATAAAATGTGTGATTTGTACCACTAAATGTAAAAAAAAGACATGTTTTATGAATGCTTGCCTCCATGTTTGTTCACTGTTTTGCAGCATTATCTTTCATCATTGTAGATAGTCACACATTTTGTGTATCTGTAATCACACACACACACACACAATATATATGTGTGTCATGTGCATGAGTTATACCCTATATGTGTATAATCACAGTTTGCTGTGTTAAAAAAATATTGTTATCTACAGAGAAGCTTTGTGTAAAATCTGAGCTAAACAAAGTGTAAATTGTGTTGTTATCACATCAACATCACTTACTGCTGAGACTGTTATTTTGTAAAGTATTGTAAATATGCCCTTGACAGTTGACAATATTCCTGTATATTCTGTATGTTTGTTTGTTTGTTTTAGTATCCAGAAGCCATGAGTTGTTAACCCTTAGGCTCGATATTATGGATATCGCAACCTTTCGGCCTTGATTCCATTGTGAATACCGTAAATCTGGGAGAAATGTGGCTTTTCTGCCTACCCCCAGGAGTGAACTCGGACCACAAGGAGTTCATCACCCGGTCTCCGCACAATCCGGTTTAGCCAACTACGCTAGAGAGCCGGGCATATATTCTGTATAATCTCAAGTAAAGTAAATGACACTTTTCCAGGCCTTCAGGCAAATTGGGCACATAGGGCTAGACCTATATTTTATAGACCAGTCAACACATATAATGAAGTATGTAAGATATAATAGCATTTTGGGGGGAAGGGGGGGGGGGGGTCAGTTAGGTCATAAGATTGTTTTGGAGCTTTTATATTTTAGCTTTTGAGAATTTTCTTAAAGATATGAACTATTTTTCATTTTATTATTCAAATGGCTGAAAAGTCAACTCAGTCTAAAATAGGTACCAGAAAATGTTCTGGAAAAGAAAGATTTTTTTAAAATATGTATTTAAAAAGATCACAATCTAAAATATGTAGTGTGATTACAACAGAATGAAGAGCAACAAGCTGGATGGGTAGAATATTTGGTTCTCACATGCGGGAGACCCAGGTTTGATCCTCTGTAAAGGTTAGAGAATATGTTTTTTTTAAATGTCAGGGCAAAATAAAAATCCTAACCTGCACAGTTGGTAGCAACTGCACTTGTCAGGCAGTTTTAAATTCTTGGGCTCCTGGCCCCCATGTCCTACGTCAATAAGTGATAAATATGAGCGGCACAGACAGTATTACAATGAAAATAATCCATCTAAACTAGAGAAAACAAAAATAATTTGATATGCTTCTCCTCCTAATTATTATTTTCAAGTCATAATAGAGTTATAAGTATAAATAAGATTTACACCAAGGACAAGTATCTTTACCAATCGTTCATCATTTTAAGATTATTATGGCCTGGAGAGAATGAGGCACCTGGGTGTAACCAGAGAGTCTGGCCGGCTCACTACACTCAGAGGACAGGCAAGACGGGCATATAACCAGATTGTGATTGGTACCATCAGTACTAGAACTCTGCGCTGGCTGCTGAAGATGAGGATGGAGCAAGCATGAGAATGTCCCTAGTGCTGTGATGTCAATTCTTGACTCAGCTCAAATCAACTCAAGTCATCATTTTAAATGTGAACTGGCCCAGTGGGCAAGAGGCTAGTTGAAAGCATAAACACGAGGCTACAAATTCATGTATTTTTCAAGGCAACAGCATCCAAAAACAATATAGTGAGCACCATTAATAAGATGTCATACAATTAGTGAATATTTTTGTTGTAAAACATTCCTCTATTATGCCAATGCTTATACAATACATGTGCAGACAGATGTTATTAACTTTTACAGTGCCTGTATTGAGTGATGATAATTTTGTGTATGATATTAAATATTACCTGGTTTGTTGGTTTATACATATATACATGCATGATACCGTTCTTCAGCTGAGAAATATATGTAACTTTCACTTTATGCATTTATGTATAGCTGCAACTGATATTTGCAAAAGTGAAGTAATAGGGCATATAGGGCTAGACCTATATTTTATAGACCAATCGCACAGGATGTGTGATTTGGTCAGCATCATGCCAGCTTCCTTTACTTCCCAGGACTGCACATGGTACCCACTCAAGACTGGGTCGACCTGGGAGCCAAGGTAATTTTTTTTAAAGTCTGGCTCCGCCAGGGAGCGAACCCACGACCTTCCAATCCACAGCAAGCGTCTAGCCGCTCCGCCACGGCACTCCCTATTGGGCATATGATACTAGATTTATATTTGTGTCGACTAGCTGGTATTCGATGGGTGACGTGGCCAACTTCCAGTTAACCTCCATCACCTGGATCTACACACTTGGGAATGCAGGATTAAACAATAATGAATGAGCCAATGCAAAATGGGAAGAAGCATGGAGAGATCTGATATCAGCAACGCTTTATGAACTAAGCTGGTGAATACTGATAAATCTCTGGCTTTAACATGACTACATGACCTGGGAGTAAAGCTTTGTGAAGCAAGTCTTTGAAATCTTCAAGGCCAAGACAGGAGACACTATAACCTCCTTCTTATGGGAGCAATCAGTAGAGGTACCTTGGAGTGGCTGCTGCATCAGACAACTGAGCACACATGGGAATGCCCAATGTGCAGTGACGTCGATTATGATGACATAACATAACATACTTCCCAGGATTTTACCTGGTACTTGTTTTAATCTGAGTCAGCCTGAGAGCCTAAAGGATCCTTTCCACGCCTTCGGGCTTATTAGGCACAAAGGGATAAACCCATATTTTATATACCAATCACCACTCTGTGGACGATGTGGTCAACATCACGCTGGCTGCCTTTACTTCCCATGACTTTACCTGGTACCCATTTAAGGCTGGGTTGACCTGGGAGCCAATGTCATTTAAAAAAAATATAAGGCTCCATCATGAGCTGAACCAATGATCTTCGGATCCACAGGCGAACGTAATATTTCCAAAGCTGAAAGAAAATAGTATTTTAAAATGTTATAGTACGGATAGCTGTAACTTGTTATCCTGTTGTTATAATTCATTGTTATCTTTACTAAGATTCTGATTGTTATATGTTGAAATGTGATAATGTTGCATTTGTCTTTACTGAACTAAAATGTGTACACAAATTTGTTTTTATTCAAGAGGAAAAATATGTATTGTTTAATTACTTGATGTAAATGTATTGGTGATCCATTGCCTGGGTGCCTGCCCATCTATCTATCCATCTGTCCATCCAACAAATTGTCCCTCCATCCGTCCACCTACT